TTGTGACATAGCACATCTTTCCAAAGATGTGCTATGCGTTGTGTAATGCTAGGATTCTTTGATATTAAAAGATAAAAAATTAACATAAGCACTTAAGTGTTTCAAATACTGTTGAAGCTACATAAAGTTATAAGTTTAAACACGTTTTTTGCCAAGCATTTGTATAAGGTATGGATTTGGGTATAATGTTGCTTTTAAAACATTACCAATGCCAGGAGAAGAATAAGCTTTTTTGAATCTTTTTAAGTAGGTAATACAATCATTTTCATTTTCATTTTCATTATTGGCACACTACAGACTCTCACTTATCGCCCAATTAGCTCGGACATCTTTAGTGGAACCAAGTTGAACTGTTGCCTAAGCCGCTTTTGGTTCTACGTCTAGTTTTAGTAGTCGTTACATGAGCTCTGTTAAACGCCAATGGCAGCCCTCAAAGTCTTGTAACATTGTTACAGCTCTCGCGTACAGTAACAGGTAATTTTAGAGCACCACTTGTTTCCGTGTTTTTGCTCGCGTAGTGTCGTGTTTTAAAAAAATATTTCTCTATAATTTTTTTAACTAATGTATGTCCAATAGTATAAAATCGATTTTCTCGAATTGACTTAAAGAAAACCCTTTCTTAGCGGAACCTATGTGTTCTGAGTTTCAGCTTACTAGAATTAATTTTAGCTGAATTCCAGGTCGTCAGTCCATCGCTCGCTGTCTTGTGTCGCAGGGATCTTAAATGGAAATCGTTCACTTCACCCATCATCGATTCTGAAAAAGATATAAAAGAATAGTTAATAAAATCTTAAATCCAGGTTTCAGGCTAGCTGACAGCCTAAATCATCTTAAATAGTAACAGTTGACCTTCCTCATATCCGTACCTTAAAATTATTAACTCGTTAAAAATTATGACCTTTACCTGAAATTAATTCTCCCCTTTATCTAGATCGCCCTGTATAAAATTCACTATCTACCGACAGGCTTCCATTTACCGTTATGAGTGATATAGTGGCTATTCCGTTTTATACCTTATGGTTATGATAATAGAACCGGACGATAACGTTCTTTAGTGTCGTGCTTTCAATGTTGCTTGATATTAGAATCTGATAGATTGGGCAGGTAACCACTTGCATCAGAAGCTGAAAGGAAATTTAAACAATGTTAGGTACTTAGTATAATTACCTACTGTCCTTAGAATTTACGGGTTCAAAACTCATAAAGGTCTAGCTTTTAGCTATTATGTATTCTTTTAGTATTATCTAAATTATGAATATTAATTGTTAACATTTTTGTGAGTTAGATCAAAGTTTAGTTAAATTGTGTATTTTAACCTAAATCTTGCACCTTGCAGGTCCCTAAATATCTTTCACAAACACAAAATCAGGGTCACAATCCAGCTCGCTAACGGGGAATGTGATAAATAGTGCAGATAAGTCGCAACTTGACTCGGACAAATGCAGCCAGTTAGCGACGAGCGCTCTGGTTTGTTGTTAATAGATGTGCATTTTTTGGTGCCAAAAGTTACGTTCCAATAAAGATACTTCTCAGCTGCTTTTGAGTTGCGACTTGTTATTAATTTGATCTGAAATTAAAGAAATACAGGGCAGTGATAGTCCACTCGGACAAATGCAGCCAGTTAGCGACGCGCGCTCTGGTTTGTTAGTAATAAGTAGATGTTCATTTTTTGGTGCTAAAAGTTACGTTCCAGCAGAAATACTTTTCAGCTGTTTTTGAGTTGCGACTTGTGATTTCCACTTATTAATTTTAACTGGAATTAAAAAATACAGGGCAGTGATGATCGACTCGGACAAATGCAGCCAGTTAGCGACGCGCGCTCTGGTTTGTTGGTAATAGATGTGCATTTTTTGGTGCCAAAAGTTACGTTCCAGCAGAGATACTTTTCAGCTGTTTTTGGGTTGCGACTTGTGATTTCCATTTATTAATTTTAACTGGAATTAAAGAAATACAGCACAGTGATACGAGAAATACAGCCAGTTAGCGACGTGGTATTTTTGGTGCCAAAAGTTACCTTCCAGCAGAAATACTTTTCAGCTACTTGCGATTTGCGACTTGTTACTAATTTGAACTAGAATTTAAGAAACTTGGAGCATGATAACTAAATTTAAGCGCTCTACGAATAATTTATCCAATAGCTGACTGCTTAAAAATGATAGATTTCAATGCTGGGTTTACGTAAAATGCGAGGAGAGATTTGGGTCCTTCACTTTTTTTTTTAAATAAAACATTTCCATAAAGGTAGTAATAAAAAATAGAAGAAGCATACGTACTATTTTATTGGAGAAGGTAGGTATTCTAATTAAAAAATATCACTTAACAATCTATGTGAGTATGTATGAGTAAATTCAAGGCTTAATTAATCGTATAGTGCAACATAATAGTTTAAAATATTATTTAATCGTATAGTATTTTTACACAGTGTTCTCTTGTTACTTGGAATTAAGAACTAGTAATTAGTAAAATAATCGCATCACAATCCCATAAATTCCATCAAAGTATACGTCTTTACCCACCGTGTATCCATTATCTGTTTCATAATTGTACTCGCTCGCATTAGCCGCCATTTGTATTAATTCTATTGAATGATTAATAGATTACGATATGGCATTCCCAAATCTGGAATGCTCCGCTAGTTTCCCACAATCGCTCTTGATAATATCGGATGATGCGGCAATAGCTCCGTAATACATTAATCCTGGATATTTGATTTGATTTGATTGCTAAGAGGTAGGACTTATTGTCGTTTGAATTGTAACAGTTTATTTTTATTTTTTTTATTATGTATTATTTTGGTTTAAATTGTATACCTTTTGTTATCATTTATTTCTTTAGTGTCGACACCGCCTTCCCCTTCATATTTGTTTCAAGTAACTGTCCTCACCATAGGTTGTCTGGAAGAGATCGCTTCATAGCGATAAGACCGCCTAATTGTACCTTGTGTGTTCCTTTTCTTTCTGTTATGTTATTTGTTTGGTGTGCAATAAAGTGTATTTATTATTATTATTTTTATGAGTTTTATTAATCCTCGAAGATAATTTCTTCGGTACTGACGACTGACTTATTTATTTATTATTCATTATTGAGCAATTACATAGTTGTGATAAGTGCTCCAAATAGGCTACGAAGTATAACACGAATTTTTCTTAAAGGGGTGCTAAAGGTGGTGTTAGCAAAGTTATTTTTACAGGTTTTCAGTCACCGTAAAATCGTGAATTCCGTCAGATTATAATCTGACGTAGTAATCTACAATATCTGTTAGTTTACAATTTCACGCGTTACTATCCGACTTCTTGTCACCTGTCATTCGCTTTACAGTCTGGAGGGTCTCCGTGTTGTTCGATTATATTTCTTAACCTTTTGGGAAATTGTAAAATAAATACGGTCTGTGACGTACATAAATATTACATTCAATTAAAGACAGCCAAGGTCAACAAGGTTAACCTACTATTGAAATTTTCAATTAATTAAGGCTTTTTCGTCTTTCATAAGTGTTTTATGAAATGTACACAGTCGCCATGACATCAGATTATATATTTTGTTGAAGTAACACTTACTAAAGCTACATAACATTCCACATTGGTTGGCGTGATGTACGATGCTTTTATAAAAAATCCGTCCGTGCCGCACTCTGTGGAAATTCAACCTTCACCATCACGAGTTAGCTATCGCCCCCTCTTTGGCACATGGTTTATCGCAAACAGTATCTCCGACAAAAACAGCGGATCAAGACTATTACAAAAGTTGCCACATAATACAAGAGCATTTATTCAAACAGATATAACTTTCAATTTGAACGGGAAAAACTTATCTCCATTCGGAACACGCGCGAAGCCACTTAACTCACAAAAGAGCGATCTCCATAACAGTTAGTGTTTTTAAAGCTGGCGCTACACTTGTTACAGTGTTCACTGTTCATCTTCAAACCTAGCTACACATTATTTAAATTTTAGCTAGCTACTAGTTTTCGCCTACAGCTTCAATCACGTGAATTATGGTCTGTCAAATACCCAGACAAAAACAATACTATGTTTTTCCTAAAGGTTTAAAATACCCGTAACCTGTAAAAGTAACGGTAATTTTATAACGTAATTTTCAATATTTTTTTTTTAATATTTTGTGTCATTGCCTTGCCACTAAATTGTCACAATAAAATTGTTATACAGTAGGTAGCTAACGTAGTACCAAATTTTGATACAAGTCGCAAAGCCCTCAATTATGAATTTGAATTTGTAATGTTACTTGTACATGTACAACCACATCGCGATTGCTATAACATAAAACACACATCATTAAACTTTTACAGAACAATTCAACTTGCATATCAAGTGTTACATGGCCCCAATCGCTGCATAATGGATGCTCAGCTTAAGCCATGAATACTTGATGCTGAGGTCTGCAAGGCCGCTAACATCTCACTTAGGGTCGTTAAGTGTTTTCGAAGTCGCCATTAGTGTGAAATATGAATTAATGGCGGGCGACGCTGCGGCGTCATCGGTACACGGCAAGGTGTCTGAGGATAGCGCCGGCTGTGGAGTAGCTTTATTTTAGTTCAAACGCACATTAGACTATAAGTATTTTAGTAGCAAATATCGACTATCACAACATAATTACGTTACCAAGATGTGTTCGGCTGTGCATTATCTGTAACTTCACTTGCTATTTCAAAACAGTATTGTCGTCTTAAAGAACACAAAAAATAATTAAAATTTTTTCATCTTGAACCATGGCGTATGCACTTGTGTTACTCTAAAGAAACACTAAACAGTGAGAAAATAAGCAATACACATAAAGAATCATATAAGCACACCATAAGTCTTTAGCCTGTAACCTAATTTCTGTATTAAGTTTTGCTTCTATCTGAAATAGCTTCAAAATAAATTAATACATACTAGTAGGTGCGACTCCATGACTTTCCATTTACAAACGCGCATAACCAAGTAAGCCGACGGGTGGTCATGATTGATTATGTCGCATTTTGCGTCGCGGCTTCCACGACTCCGGTCGTATCCAGCGCTCATCTCTACCGACAATCACAGATAACCAAACATGGACAAGGAACGACAAATGTTCCGTATACACAACACTAATCAGGTTAACGGGAAACAGAAAAACCCTGGCGAAGTAAGGGAAGGTAAATAGAAACAAAAATACCGCGGAGGACTTTATTACGGAAAACTTTTCAGATTACGTCCGCCAAAACTCTTGCTTTTATGTGAAAGATTGCGGCAGTCTTATCTACTTTTCCAATTAAAATTAGCATTTTAAATGCGGCCTATAGCATTTTAGGGTTTATGATTTTGGTGAAAACTTTGTAAATGTTTTAACCACTTCTTGATGTCCAGCTGTTGTACCACTGTACGTCTATTATCAAATAATGTATCGTGCTATAAATGGTAATTGTATAATTAACGGTATACGAGTAAAGATAATTGGAAGTGGGGGATATATTTGTATTTAGCAGTAACAGCATTTTATGATTAGAATGTAATTTTAAAAATTACTAGTACTCTAAGGACTTTTCAGAAAAGCTAAATAGTTGTCAAACGAATCAAAATACATATTTTCTTCGTAACTAAAAATATTTTCCTTGTTTAACTGACATCTTTAAAAGCCTTCATAAAAGTCAGAGGTTTTTTTTATTTCCTATTCTTTTTCCCACTTTAAGGCAAGTAAGATTTGAAAGCTTGCGTACATGTTTTATAATTAGACTTCTTTCGGTTTTGAAAAGTTTCTTCGAAGCATTTCTACATTAATTTGCTACAATTTAACGAGACGAAAATATATTTTAAGCAATACTTAAATACACAATACGTCTGTCAAATTTTAGTAGCAAAGATATTTACACAATGGAAGAGCTATTAACAGTGTCAAATAAGTTTCAAATTAGCAGCTCCTTCTTTTGATGAGGGTAGTTCGAGTAGAAATTGTGAGAATTTCTCATTACAGAATACGATGCGAAAGAAATCTACGGGCCGAAGATCACGGACAGGGATGGCGCACTATTGGATGAGCACGACAGCTTCTACCACACCACTAAGAGTCTCCTAGTACTGTTCCAGATTATGGGGATTATGCCCATCATGAGGGTTCCTAAAGGTACACTTTGCTATAAAGGTTTGCTGTGTAGTTTTTCAAGACTAGAATAGGTTCATTCCTACTCTTACTGTGAATGTCGTAAGAGGCGACTAAGGGTGACACAAGCTTCCCCATATCCGTCTGGCTAGCATGGACTCCCCATAGGGAAGGGAAATCCTCCATTATTGGTAGGTACTATTACTTATTCTGTGATTATGCTCCTGCACTCCTCTCTACTTTACTTTGCGTCATTTGCTGAAAACTAAATGAACTGATGATTACTAAGTAGATGAACAAGACAAGTAAAAATAATTTACAATTAAAATGTCAGAAATGTCAGCAACAGCTTCCCTGTTGGTACATATTCAGTGGTTATTGAGTATTACCAATAGGTGATCTGTCAGCTCATTTACCTGTGTCGTGTGCCGTTGTTAAAGAACTTTAAAATTCTTACAGATGCCCAAACAACCAAAAGAACAACATTCAACTGGATATCCAAGGCAACACTGTGGGCTTACCTGGTGTGGGGACTAGAATGTATTATCGTTGTTAGAGGTATAATGTTATTGTTTGGCTAACTAATTGTTATTTTAGTATTTAACCTATTTCAGTATAGGTCTGGGCCTAACTTATCCAATAAAATAAAATAGGAAAAGAAATCTCAAATTCAACTGTGTAATAAAGCACAAAGTAAAACGCAACCCACAAGTGATTAATACTTATTATAGAAATTAGTCATGTATTAGGTTCATTCGAAAAGTTAAGTTAATTAATGAAGTTCGGAGGAAAACGAAAGGGCCCTTAAACTAAGTACTATCATTTAAAAGCCAGTTATGAGATGTAAGACGATTAATTAAAATTAGTCCGACTAATTCCGTTTTCCAGAACCGCAGGCTCAGGCGTAGTTTAATTTTAGTGGGCGCCATGTGTTCATCCAGATTAGAATCGAGATGATTAATTCATGCGATTTGCTTAAATGTTGGTTTCATTGTATTTTCGTTGATGGTTTTTGAAGAAATAAGTCCTTTTAAGACGCTTTAGTAAGTTGTTTACAAAATAAGTGGCTGCGCACTCGATACGCATAAAATGAATGATTATTTTTAATAAGCGTTATTTTAAAAGGTCTTCTTTTACGTGACCTTCATACCTAAAGGTTGCGCGTAGGCGCTAGATTTGGGCAGCTCTCAACCGGGAAATTTGTAAATAATTGGGGGAGGCCTATGTTCAGCAGCTGAAAACATGATGATGAATTTTCTTTACAGTGGGCAAAGAGCGCTTAGCGAACTTTCAACAGAACACAAACAAGCGTTTCGACGAAGTGATCTACAACATTATCTTCTTGAGTATTCTCATACCGCATTTCTTGCTGCCCGTCGCGTCGTGGCGCCATGGGCCTCAAGTGGCCATATTTAAGAACATGTGGACCCATTATCAGGCGAGTCACCCCTTTTACCGTCTCGTCCTTTTCAATTAATGTGTGTAATTTTAACATTTTTTTATTATTGAGGACAATATCACGTAATGAGCTCATGATTAAGTAAACAAGATAATTAGTTTGTCGACTACTTAGAGAATTATATGCTCCTCTCAATAGCTCAAATTGACTAACTTATTAACACATCCTTTATTTATAGTAAACGTTAAGAGTTATAGTTGTTGATAAAAATGTGTTCAAAAACACTATTTGTGTACCTAGGTATTTTTAAGCATTTCGTAACAGATATACGATTAGATTTTCATGATTTCATACTTTTATAGCTGAAATATTTAAAAATCACCGGCACGCCGATAGTGTTCCCAAACCTGTACAGCCTGACGTGGGGTCTCTGCGTGTTTTCGTGGGGCCTGAGCTTTGCTGTGATCCTCTCACAGCACTACTTGCAAGACGACTTTGAGCTGTGGCACTCGTTTGCGTACTACCACATCATCGCTATGCTGGATGGGTTCTGTTCATTGTGGTAGGTAACTCCCGGTATAGGGTCACAAGGCGTGTTTGCGTCCACTACCCTATACGGGTGATTCGTATCCTCAATAAAAACAGTGGAAAATATGCTGACTACACATCAAAGTTAAATACCGTCTACACGTCAAAGGCACGTCGTATGAGTCGGCGACTTTTGACATTTTGCCTAAAGTCATTGAAGTTGTCGACATGATTCTTTTTAAACAAAGTCGCCGACTGTCGTCGATGATCGATGGCTTATATCGCTCGGTCTCACACTGTAAATAAAACACGACTCATACTGTCAATAGCAAGTGTAACATAATGAGATCGTAAAATATCCTTTTCCAAACTGAAGTAGTAACAATTAACACCGAAATAACCCAAAAGAAAACTACACAGTTCTGAAAAAGTTTCACTTAGCTCTATTTATCTCACACTTACCCTTTTTTCGAGTGTATTCTTTCCACATCAAGAAGCTATTACACTTCGTATTAGACCTTTTTCTCGGAGCCTCTTAACTACTTGCAGGTACATAAATTGTAACGCGTTCGGGACGGCGTCCCGTGGTCTAGCCATGAACCTTCATAAAGCACTGGAGGCAGAACATCCGGCATTGAAGCTGGCTCAGTACCGCCATTTGTGGGTCGATCTGTCCCACATGATGCAGCAGTTAGGTAAGTGACGAAAAAGGGACGAGAGTGATTGCCTTTTNTTCGCTGTTTTCGTAGGCAAAAATCCAATTTGAACGAGATTTTGTCAATAGACATTCCGTAAAAACGTATGATAATTACGATGATATAAGTCAAAAGAAGCTATAACAATAAATTATATGACTAAAATCATTTCGAAATCTGCCAAATTCTCGATTTCTGCATGAAAAATGTGACAACGCTCTTAATGAAAGAGTTATTTTGTCGACTATTATCAGGCCTGTTCATCTCCGCGAGTTTGCATCGAAAACAAAACACGCGCGACTTCACCTCCTGAGATCACTAATCGACAGGACAATCACGAGCGAGCTTTGACGCACGAACGTACCTACTACCCGTTCGCGCTAAGTTTGCCGGTCCGTGGAATGCGCGTCCTCTAACCGCGAATAAACGCAAATAATTAGTTATTTAACGCAATTGAGTGTTTTATTTTACGCAAATACACAATTTTATCAATATTAATAAATAAAAAATATTTTCAATATTAGTTTGCTAAAGTTATAGACGCTTTCCTTCGAGTGACGTCATATCGCCAGCGGCAAACTTATCGCGAACGGATAGTATATTCTTCACCCATTTGCATTGTAAAGACAATAAACTATGTATGTAAAAACGGTGGTGTAATTAATACTGTGTAGTATTTTAATTACCTGAATAAAAATAGAAACACAAAATATAATAATAATTCATTCTTAATCATGTATTTCCTCCACCATTTTCCACAGTTTGGCACCTCACGTCACACATCATTTTGCCGAAGTCAGCCCTATGGCTTCGGCGCAGTACCTACCGATCACTGACGTTTGTCAACAAAATTATGCTCGACTCTTGAGACAAGCTAAATTACACCATATTGTTTACGACATTGAACATATTTTTTTTAAATACCTTTGCGAAGAAAACCTTCTGTACGTAGTACTTTTTATTATTCTGTGACTATATCGTGAAACATTTGCTCCTCTCGGTCACATGCATGAGTAATTAATTAATTAATGAATTAACTAAATAAATTGTGTATGCTTATTACCGCAGCCTGTACATAGCAAACGATAGGAGTTATAGTTGTTATAGTGTATTTTTAAGAATTTTGTAAGTGATACGATTTGAATTTCACGATTTCATATTTTTTCAGTTGAAATACCTAAAAATCACAGGCACGCCGATAGTGTTCCCAAACCTATACAGCCTGACATGGGGTCTCTGTGTGTTTTCGTGGGGCCTGAGCTTTGCTGTGATCCTCTCACAGCATTACTTGCAAGATGACTTTGAGCTGTGGCACTCGTTTGCATACTACCACATCATCGCTATGCTGGACGGGTTCTGTTCATTGTGGTAGGTAACTCCCGATATAGGTTCCGTCCACCGTCCCATACTGATAATTTTTTGAAAACAGTGGAAAATACTCTAGATATTGTATATCTACATAGAAGGCTTTTGGTTTTGTTAGAGTGTTCGGTAAGTATAGTTTTTTTAAAGAATGATCCGTCGTTTATACGCGTATAAGTGCTGAAACAGAAAATTACACAACTTGACCCTGTACTTGACTTAAGACAAGACACTTTAAAGGGTCTTAACGAAATAGTTACCTTTTTGAATCTTAATACAAATGATCGATATAATGTGTCTACCTCACACCGTCACACTGTATCTAACTACGAGTCAAATACATAATCAATACAAGTGACTGTAACTCTGTAAGATCGAAAACATCCTTTTCCAAACTGAAGTAGTAACAATTAACACCGAAATAACCCAAAAGAAAGCCTCTGAAAACTTTCACTTAGCTCTATTTATCACTTACCCTTTTTTCCAGTATATTCTTTCTACATCAAGAAGCTATTACACTTCGTATTAGACCTTTTTCTCGGAGCCTCTTAACTATTGCAGGTACATAAATTGTAACGCGTTCGGGACGGCGTCCCGTGGTCTGGCCATGAACCTTCATAAAGCACTGGAGGCAGAACATCCGGCATTGAAGCTGGCTCAGTACCGCCATTTGTGGGTCGATCTGTCCCATATGATGCAGCAGTTAGGTAAGTGACGAAAAAGGGACGGAAAAGTGATTGCTTTTTGGTGAGAAAATATTTGTAAAATGGAAGTATTTATTACAATTGCGTAGAATAGATGCTCTTACCCGACGATAACTGTTTTTTTAAGTTGTTCAAATTCACGATCATAAACATCGCATACAATATTCTGTATGTGTACCTGCTCACTATACATATTGTAATAAGGTTCATAGATTACAAAAAAATGTACTGAAAATGACTTAGGTATATGCAAAAAGTTTGTGTTATTATTATATCTTGGTAGCCAAATATATTTATTCAAACCCATATTAATTAACCTGTATCGATATAGCTAGACCGCTTACAATCATAATATCTTAGTTACAGAATTGCTTGAATTCTTAATCGATGTTCAAAACTTCATTCAAACCTATTGAAATTCAATCCACCTCTAGTTTAATCATGCATCGTGTGTTAAATCAGCATTAGCTAGTCCTTCAGTTGCATGCACTAAGATAATAAAGATTACCCAGTAGTTCCGACACCGCGCAAATCGCCACCTATATATTATTATCGTGGCAGGTGCTTCCAATGGCCCAGTGTTTTGTTTTAACGAAACGTTTTATGGCCACGATACAAGATATCAAAGCAGTAAACAATATTTTGGAGGCACGTTTTTGTTCTGTACTAGCGGAACAAAAACGGTGTCACATTTTTTATTGACTGTAAAAATAGGCATTAATCATTATCAGGAGGCCATATTAAGCTTTCACAAGATTCTGCCTACATTTTTTGCAACAAAGCATAACTATGGCTACAACAAATTCACTTTCTTATCTTTTAAACTACGCATTGAATTGCAATGCGGTTGTCAGCAGTAGATGAGTGATTCAAGAGAAAAACACTCATGTGACGCCGGGTGCGTCGCTAGTGTAACAAATAAATATTTTAATTCATAGCTCTTCTTGATAATCTATTGCTGATGATATTTACTTACCTGGACCAGAAATATTTTTTACTTGAAAGTCTACAGGCTCAGATACGATCACAAAACATACGATCGTGGGATCGAGTTCCAACAGAGGTGGTTGTTTTTATCAAATAATACACATGAATCTCATACATTTCAGGTAGAGCTTACTCCAACATGTACGGAATATATTGCATGGTCATCTTCTTCACCACTACCATATCTCTCTATGGGGCTTTATCAGAGATATTGGATTCAGGTCTCAGTTACAAAGAGATGGGGTTGTTCGTCATAGTTGGGTACTGCATGACCCTGCTCTATATTATATGCAATGAGGCATACCACGCTACTAGAAAGGTCAGTCAGTATGATACTCGTAGTAATATATTATGGAACGGAAAAAGCAATTTTTCAAACTGAACTTGACTTTTACTTGTTTAATATTGTTTACCAAAGAAATACCTTTACACAGAACTCTCACTTGATATGACTACGAGTACAGTCTTTTAGCTAGCCGATAATTTGGTCGGCTTCTAATAATTCCTATTACAAATTATTTGTAACTACATGTATATTATTTTTTACAAACAGCCTAACCAAACTATCGGCCGCTAAAATTCCGTAGCGGTTCTCTCTAATATTAAAATTACGATATAATAGATTTTGAACGTTACATCCATGTTTTTAGGTCGGATTTGAATTCCAAGTGCGTCTTCTGAACGTGAACCTCACCACCATAGACCGCAGCACCCAACGGGAGGTGCAAATGTTCCTGGTGGCCATCGCGAAGAACCCCCCAATCATGAACCTGGACGGCTTCACCAATATTAACAGGGAGCTGTTTGCTGCTGTAAGTTAATTAATATTTTTTACCCAATTTTCACTTACCAGTTACGCCACGATAGCCGAACGGTGAAGATTTCAGTTTGGCTGACTCGTGATCCGAGGAACGCGGGTTTTAAGCGGAATATTTTTGTGGTGAACCCACTCGTAACGTAAGCATATTTATCTTACTACGAGGGGTTATGTAAATTGTTTAAAATAAATTGCTAATTATGTTTGTTAAAAGATATCGAATTTCCAAGTAGTCATTGCTAAAACCTATTAAATCTAGTTTTTAAAGCAATTCAAACCACATCTGCCTACTATAGCTTCATAACAAACCATCATCCAAATGGCGGTGATTAAGCTGCTGTACACGATTTGCACATCTGGTTTTCATGATGATAAATTAGTTTTTTTTTTCACATTTCATACTTTTAAGTACATTAAGGCTGGGTTGCATCATCTTACTTTAACTTTAATAAACGTCATAAATCGGTCTAACTCCATACAAAAAACACCGGTTATGTGGCTTTTTGTGCCACAGTAAGTAAATATCACAGGTAACATATTATTTTCCAACCTGTAATTAATGATTTTCATAATCTCTACTTAGAACTTACAAAGTTGTTGAGGCAGACATTTCGCGTTCGATTACCGGAGTTTCCAAACTGTGTAGGCGTGGTAGGTTCTATTGTTATAAGTTATTAGTAACAAATAATGTAATTTGAAACTTTATTATCGTAGGAGATTTACTAGGTAATAGCCAACATATTAATGGAGTGCTTAAACTTTTGGCCCAGTGTATTTACCTAGTACCTTGTTAGTAATTTGTTTAATAGTTGGTCCACAAAATTCTGTTAAATTAATTTAGTATTAACTTACAAAAATGAACCATAAAATAACTTATAAAATTGGAACAAGGCTAAAATAAAATAAAAAACAAGTTAAATACATAGTTCAAGTTTAGCAAATAAAACAGTAATGTAGACTTTTGGAAATAACCCATACTTCGGGTTTAAATTCGCCATAAAAGCATTACTCCCTACATTTAACCACCCTGTATAATTCTCTTTCTTTTTGTAGTTTATTATAAGACGAGTTTTAAAAATTTCATACACGTTTTTGAACAAACTGTATCCTTCAACAGTTTTTCTTCTTGTAGTTTGTTGGAAAACATTTACTTATATTTTAACGAACTTTCTTATTTTCCAGAACATTTCCTTCATGTCAACGTATCTTATCGTGTTGATGCAGTTCAAGCTAACACTACTACGACAGAGCGCGAGGAAGGCCGTCAAGACCATCGTGAGAGCCGTCGTGAACGCTACGAATGACGCCCCCGATGATGACGTAGATGACGATGATGATGAATGAACAAGTTAAATAATATTTTGATAGCTGCTCCGTGACGAGAGAAAATACTCGTAGCATTCGTGAAAGATTCAATTTCGCAATCGTTTTCGGAGAGAAGTAGCTACGAACAAAAAAATCTAAGGCTGAGTTGCACCACCTAACTTTAACGGTAACTATGACGATAATCGGTGCTTTTTGTATGGAGTTTGACAGCTTTTTGACGTTTGTCAAAGTTAAAGTAAGATGGTGCAACTCACCCTTAGTTGATCGATTTGGGGACTTAAAATACTTGTCTAGGCCCAGCTAGTACTTAAAATATTTGTCAGTTATTTGTGAGATCTTTGTAGTTTTTAGCAACAACATATTTTACGAAAGACGTTCAAAACTAGATTCAAACTGTGTATTGTGATTATATTTATCTAATTTCAAACTGTAAGATAATCCTTTTATTAAATTGAATCGAGTTTGACATACTTTCGTTTCATCATCATTTACTATGTAGTTTAATCCCTTTTAATAAAATTGTTTCAAACAGTAAACCTCTTTAGTAATACCTTCTCACAGCTCTTTAGGTCCAAACTGGAGCTAAATCCTACAGACTTGTAACATCCAGGTACAAAGTTCATCCCTTAACAAAACTTTTCAGTTTATGCTACACTTGGGGAAACAATATAGTGTAAGTGGCCCCGCTTCATAAACTGCGTCACAATGTTGCAGCAGTTGAGGGATCCTTTGTCGAAGTAAGCCAATCGTAAACAGGTGGGATGGGATGGATTCTTTGAAGTTTAGGCACTGTTTAATGCAGAGCGTCTAAAGGTGTAAAATGAAAGTTTATTAAGTGCTTTGTTGCGAACAAATACTGATTCATCCCAGAATTATTAATTCGTGTACTCAGAGAATTAGTCAAAAATAATTTTGATGTAGACTGTCACAGGGACATAGAAAATGTGAACCCGTTAACTTTTTAATAAACCCTCATTTTCCAGGGAGACACTACCTGAACTGTATCTATTTTTAAAAAAAGCCAAGCCAAGCCAAGTTACAAAGTTGTGGAAATACTGTCGTAACAACCAGTCTTAAGTTTTTTAGGGAAAATCGTCTGTAAAAGTTGCCATTATGATGCCAATTTGCTGATTTTATTTACTCGTTCTATTCATTAGGGCGAAAGTAAACATTTTCGAATCAAAGTAGCTGATTTTCCATATCCATCTGAGGTGCCATGTTTTATATTTTTAAGGTTAGTGGAACCTTAGGTTTATTATAGCTTAGAAGCCCTGGATTTCCGGTCCGCGGTATCTACTCGTGATTTTCCAGCTTTAAACCAGACAGCTATTGAAAATTGCTGTTTCAATTATTCATTACTAAACATTTTCCAAACGAAAATTACAAGATTTTTCCTTATCTACGTCGCTCGCAGTTTTCTAGTTTTTTTTTAAAGATTTTTAGGTTTATTGTAGCTCAGAATCCCTGGATTTCCAGTCCGGTATCAACTCGTTTTCCAGCTGTAATACCGGTTTACTGTCGTCCCGGTCGCCGACCGCGCCCGTGGGACGTCCCATATGATAGAGATTGGATTGGGATCGAGTGGACCTGGATCAAATGCTTGGATCCGAATGATTGCTCGTTATACCTTTTAAGTTGCTGCGGGGTTTAACGGTTAATTTCGTTTTGTTTAAAGATGGAACAATTTTTTAATGTTACAAATGTGCTTTTTGGATGATGCTGTAAGAAATTAGGGTGTATCAACTTTTTTAGACAAGGTAGGTATTTGCTAAAAATCACACCATTAAACTAGGGGTGCGCACCGGCTTAATCAATTTATTGAAGAGTGTTTTGTTTGGATAATATATTTCTTTATCCACAACGAAGAGGCTGTCTCTCTTCTGATGGTAAGTGATCAGTCTCCAACACATTGCACCTGGTCAAAGTAATAAGATGCACCACAGTTTTGTTGGCTTGATATATTTTCGTCCATACCAAAGTACCTAAATCTGATGCCGTAAATAACTGCTTACTAATACAAATATCGTATTAATAGCGTAAAAGCTAAGTTTCTAAGTTAATTTACAATTCAATAATCCCCGGTATTTGAAAATTGACTTATCCATTCGTATTTATATTTAGTAATCTGACTTGATACGCACATCGATTTATGCAAATGAATTAACCACTATCGAGGGCAATCAGAATAATTAGAAACTATATTAATTGACATCTATAACGCCAGATAATTTTCTATGGAGAGTGAACATGGTAATGGAGTCTTATGTTGTTTCTCTCACCAACTGGTCCCACCGTCAATTTCCATAAAATGATCTAGGGGCTTATTAAAAAAAGTTAAACGGGCGTTAATCACTTCTTTAAATTTACATTTTTGTTATAGCAACACTACTTATTGTTTAAAACAAATTCAAGTAGGTACAGTAGGGAAAACATCACTGAAAAATGTTTCCTTTACAACCTTATTTACCTACAGGACTCAAAACATCCCACAATATCCCACTGTCGAATCTAAGCATGTATATTATTAAATACTATAACAAAGTTTTTAACAGTTTCACGATTAAAATAATAGGTCAACCAATATTCTAACCAAAACAATACCAATCCAGACTTCAGACCTAAAAAAATCTAGCACACAGCATAAATTCGTTAACCTAAATTTGATTTGCCTCTCAACATTTCAAAGTCCGATTGCATGAAAAATTCAACTGTCCATGAAATATTGAACGAAGGGTACCTATTAATTGCTGCTGCCCTATTTTTTTAGAATTTATCTTTCTTTTTTTGAAAGGAATAGAATGATCTTTATTTGACATAAAACAAAAAATAAATCGTTATTTTATTCCGTATTTATTTGATTTTCACGCCTCGTACCTAACGAGGCGTGAAAATACGTCTTCGATGTTCGCGTGGAATGTAAAACCTTAACCCCCTTATCGATAAAAGTTACACTCTAGTTGAACTCTGGCTTATATTTTTAATTCCAGAGTTCACCCTAGGTGTAACTTTTTATTAATAAGGGGGTAAAAGTAAATTATGGCCTAAGCCTGATTTCTGTCTTTCTAAATGTGATGTAGATATTTGAAAAATATTTAATTTGTAGTGAAATTAAGTTATTTTTAATTTGATAATTTAATGTGATGTGCCTTATTTCCTTCGCAAACTGCATTACATATTTTTTGACAATATTCAATCACAGTGATTCCAGTTTAAAAACACCAATACATTAAGTAACATGTCTAATAAAACGCAGCACATACATATAACGATGATCGGTTGAATCGAACCGACTTACGAGACCAATTTATCACACAGTCTACCTATCACCTAGTCCATAAGAAGCTTATTCGATGCAGAAAACTAGCAATTTCCGAGTCAATAAAATGTTCTAGTCACGTCACTAATCCTCGGGCTTCTCGTTTGCAACTATGTGAAGTGAGTTAAGCGTACCCCTATTTTCCTACATCGACCACAAAGTTGCTACGCAATACTGAACCTTATACCTTCGGCCCTAAGAGATTAACGCTATATCCGTCATAGGGGCCGTATATCCGCACTGCGGTAGGAATCTCAAGTTTCGTCAAAGAGTTGGACGAAAAGAAAAACATTTTAGTAAAGTTTTACGATGTTTGTAAACAATTGTGGTTTATTGTAAAAGCCGGTAAAGTTAGCTTATTTGTTTACAGCTTGAACTTGTAAATGAAGAGCGATGTATAATTAATTTGCTGAACTTTTCAGAAATTATACGTTTACTTTTTTATCTTTCGTGAATGAATTTGTGAATGAAATAGTTAACATTGAGCGTTTTACTTTTCGTTTTCTTTTTCATTCAGNTATTTCGTCCATTGAAATGAAATTGAAATGCGACTGATGCTATTCTTAAACTCTCTCAGCGAATTTTCGTGATCCCAATACATCACATTTTGAGAATATAAATTAAAAATCATGCTATTCTGGTAACTTTTTCAATATTTTAATCATTAATCCAAAAACTTGATTTTTTATTAATCTGAAAAAATAAAATTGTTGTGCAAAAGTGTGCAAACTGAAACTGGTATATTTAAATACTAGAGGGTTACAGCTACAATATGTATAAATTCCAGACTGGGGTCAAGTGGGGGCATACAACTTCTAGTCTTCCAAACATAAATTTTTAGAAAAATATAAAGGTCAACATTTCGCCATACTTTTTAAAACTATGTATTATTTTATTAACTGTACCTTATTGTACAGAAAATAAAAAGTACTTACCCTTATCTTCAAAATCCATCACACAAATATTTGGTCACCATAGTAAAAAATAATGTCAGGTGTTGTCGAAAGTCGAGCAAACTTAGGAATTAAAAATTACACTATCCTCATATCCTCACTTACCATGTTAATTACTCACGACTAGGTAATTAACAAAGTAAAAAATTGTGGAATCCTTAATGTCTGGGATGTTGTTTATCGTTTTTTATAAACGATAATCAGAAATTCAACAATGACTTTTGTCCAGCTAGCTTGTTCTACACGAATCACAGTGCAGCGGTTGCCTTTTTAATAAAATTATAAAATTACAACTTAACAATTCTTAAAATGTTATTTTTGATGTATGTGTTGTGTGTGTGTATGTGAGTGTGTGTGTGTGTGTGTGTGTGTGTGTGTGTGTGTGTGTGTGCGCGCGTGTGCGTGTGTTAATATACGAGTATTTAATTAATTAAACTTAGCTAGTATATTTTAGTAGCAATTCTGTTTCTTCATAGCTGATTGTATTAAGCCATTCAGTTACTTTCTTTTTACATTCATAGTAATGTAGGAAGTAAATATCTAGTATTTTATTGATATTGTTATATGTGTGAGTAGATTGTTTATTGAATTGGTTTGCCGCGAAAGATGTTTTGCATTTACATATTGGAGCTATCTTATCTTTTCTTCTTTTACTTAGGATTTTACTATCAAAATTTAGAGTTTTGTGGACTTTTAAGATAATCAGTAAAATATACAGTTTTCGGACAGATAATAAATGACTACAATCGTAAAGCATGTGTGTTGGATATCTACGTGGCTTAAATTCCATAACCTTCAGTAGTGAGCGTTGAGCTCGTTCGATTTCAAGGAATTTCGTTTTGCCAGCGCCACCCCATATCGTGATACAATAACTCAAAACCGACTGGACCAGTGCTATATACAGGGTGTTACTTTGCATTCTTGCCATATTTACAGAGGTAACTATATTACTGATACTGAACACAAATCCGTTAAAAAATAATGCCCGAAAATTTTGATTTTTAATTTTNTATATATA